TTAGAGGTTTTTTTAGACTCCACTGCATGCGACAAATTTGGGCAAAAACGAGTATTTTCGTCCGTACTCTTCCTTCCTCCGCTTTCTTGGCACTGTATGCATTCCCTGTGCCTCCTTCGCGCATCCACACGGGGGGAGATGGCTCAACCAAGAGCGGAGCCCCCCCCCCCCTCCTTACCCGTGCAGAAAGGAGGCAATGGGATTGGATGGAGTGGTACAAAAGCAGACGCGGACTGTCCCTTTTGGCCAAGTCTTCCTTATCCAGTATCAAACGGCTCAGAAGGTTCCAAAATTTGTCGTGGTGGTGAGGTCCGTTTTCTCTTGCCGGCCCCCATAGGCTACAATTTTGATTGCACCAAACTTTTCCACTCTAAGACTTTGGAAAAGCGCACAACTGTGGGGTCCACCGGCCTGAAGCATGAAATTCAGTTCACCATCTCCTGAACCAAGCAGAGGGCATAGCAGGTTGTCCGCCAAAACCAACACCTTAATTGCCGCTCCATTCTCATAGGACTGACTACAGCATCCAGCAGGCATTGCCAAATGTGAGACAAAGTCAATGGGGGATGGCATGATCTGTGATGCATTTGGCTAGCTGTCCTCGACCCGGTCTATATCTGAGAAAACGGCCGCTGAATGGAACTAGGGCTGGGATTTTAAGATCATGGAGAAACGTCTGTCCCGGACTGCAGCCCCCACCGCTTGTCACGGAGAGGCTGCTAACACAACTGCTGTTTGACAACCCCCTCTTCCTCAGCCTGGATGGAATGTCGTTTCCGAGCTTTGAGCTTGGAGCCTTTGGGAATTCTTGGACGTCAAGCAGAATAGGTACGCTCTCCGACATATGGGACCTGAAAGGGGCGGAGTGGAAACCCTTTCAAGTGCTGGCCACATGGTTGACAGGGCTGTGGCACCAGCAGCAGCACCTGCAACAACTTCAACAAGCCATACCGGATGCATGGGTGCACATACTGAGGAGAGGAATGGTGCCGGTTAAAAAAATGTGATTATGGGGCTCGTTAGACACTCCTCCGACGCGTAAAATCTACAAGGGCGTGATCGTTCTCCCTATCCTTCTTAGGAAAGAAATTGGGAAAACAAAGTGAAAACATTTCCTCGATGAATCCTTGTAGCGTCCTTGTGGCCCAGCCATTTCCTCCCCTAGTGCGCGAGGTCCCTCTGAGGTCAAGGATCAGCGATACTCAGAGCGGCGAAGGCACGCGTCGTCGGCGACCTCCTTTTTTCAGTTGGTCCATTGGTGTTCTGCCAGCGGCTGCACGGACATCTTCGGGCCTTGACGTTGGGCCGTAGTGCAACGGGTTGCCAACGGTTACCATTGGTGGACGGCCGTCGCCGGGGTTCGTCTTCAATTGGGGCTGATGTCGCCCTGCTTTGCTCGTGTTTCCCGCCAGCTTTGGTGGGGTTCAACGGTCAGGAAAATTGAATATTTTACCCAACCCCTCTCCTGCATGCCCACCCATGACTGTGACGGAAAACGTTATGGTGCGTATGTCGTATGCTGTCCTGTACAGTGTGCTCCCTTCACCGTCGCCGTTTGGTGGACCTCCACCGTCGTCGTCGACTTACGGCCCTGTCACACGTGTCGTTGATGGCCGAGCTCTATCGAAGGCTGCCAGTGCTGCTCCTCGTCGCGTCATTGCTTGTCGTCATCCTCGTCTTCCACGTCTGCATCATCAGCAAGGTGCCTGGGCGTACACGCAGGATGCGGTCAGCAAAGAAGACCGTCGAGATGGACGAGCGTCGGGCGAAGAGCAGGGCGGTGGTCGAGTCCCCCAGTGCTCACCGCGCTGTGACGCCCAAACCTCACGCCCGGGGTGACTTCCTGATCGGAGTGGGATGTGGGCCTGGAAGTGCGAAAAGGGGTGTGCCAAGGATTTTTGGGAAAAGTGGGGGTGGAGTCCCAGGTCGGAACTGAGATCTCCTGTGGCAAGGATTCAGGGGCATAGATGCAATAGGACTAAGGGGCGGGTTGCTTTCGGTCTGATGGCGGTCGATGTCGTGCAGCTTAAGGCAGATGGCATGCGCGGTGCATCAGAGGCCGTCTGATCCATCTGTTTTGGTGACGGCGGTTCGGAAGAGGCTCGTGAGGGTTGCGGTTGCTAGAAATCGGATCCTCGGGGGCAGACACGTGGCACCTGTAGGCTGTCGCCGCATGGTATAGTTACGCTCCGTAGTCCCCGGGGCTCGGTGGTGACTGCGTTGTCTGGAGTTTCTGCACGGTGTGCGGGGCCAATACGGGGCGATGGAATTCCACGGTACCACAATGAGCTGGTGATACGAAAGGAGAAGACGGAAGGGAGGGAAGTTGGTAGTGATAACGACAAAGCCGGGGGATATAAAGTATTGTGTGTTATATGTAGTTGGGTAATCGGGGCACCTCGGATCGCTGGTTACGGCACAGCGGAACTCCTTAGGGCACAATCAGTTCTCGGTTAGACAGGGGAATTCTGGTCGTCTCTGCCTAAGTTCTTCTCTTACCCAAGGTTCAAAGTACTCTGAATCCCATGAATCCGACATCTTGTCATTGCGGCGTAGTGAAAGTCTTTCGCACACATCTAACGGGCAAGGGGATTTCCCGATGCGATATCGAAAATTCCTATCCGTCTAGGTGCGCGAAGGAAGGAAAATTCCCGTCTATCCGATATCGGGGGTGTCAGAATCGTCAATGGTCGGGAATCGGCGCGCGTGGATACGTGTAGGCTGCGCAAATCAGATCGCGCTTACACCTAGCCCCACGAGGTATTCGCTTGTTTCTGGAAGAATGAGAGTCTAATTCCTCATGCAAAATCGCCGCATGTTGTGGACAACTACCAAATCATCTAATCACTCAGTGGTCCGCAAGCATGCAAGGTGTCATTATACATCAGACGTCAGCATTTCTACTATGCTTTAATGACATATCAAAATGGTAAGCAAAGACGATGACCAGTCAGGAAAAACAACAACTTTATCATTCATTCATCCATTCATTCGACAAAACACACAATAAACGAGATCAAAATCAATCGCAAAACAAATGGGGGCTGAAGCCAAAGCCAAGATTCCGAAAACAAAAGAAAACGAGCGAGTCGCCCTGCGCCGAGATCAAAATTTATATACAAAAGTAAGGAGGGAGGCAAGACAAGAAACCTGCAAATCCACGTCCATCAATCTCAGCTCCCTCTTCCTCTCTCTCTCTTTCCGATACGAACAGTCCGTCGTCACGCACCAACCCACGAAGTCGTCACCCCGCTTAGTCATCCTGCACCCGTCAGGTCTGCCCGCTCACTACAGTCCGTCGTAGCCCCACTCGTCAACCCCGCGCATTCGGCACCAGCTCTTCAGGTCGCCTGACTCCCACTTCAACTCACCTCTTACATCACTCGTGAGCCGACCCTCACTAATCGCGCTACCCCGAGCTTCAAACAACTGGTTAAGAGAGCTATCTAATCGCGCAGCCGTAATTTATAGCGTGTATGCATGCGCGAAGAACACAGAATTGCAAGGACTTAGAAAGGAGATTAGGAGAGGGAGCGCCTACGTTTTGCATGGCCAGACTGCGGCGTAGGGGACGTAGCCAGTCTCCACGCATCGATCCGAGCATGCAGGCCGCGGGCTAACTAGGCATAGCAAAAGGGAAAGAGAGAGCGGGAAAGACGAAGCTCAAGAAGAAAGATACAGTTACAATGGCGCCCGTCCAAAATTACAGTTACTTGCAAGATTAAGGGCGCCGACTAATAAGAGCTCCGTTGCAGCCACAAAAAGAAGCACGCAAGCAGAAGGCGTTGCGCGGCAAGAGGAAATCCTAAATTCCAAAATTCCAAAATTCCTACCTAATGCGAAAATGCAAAAAGCACGAATTCCGAAAAGAAAATCCGAAGTTCTGAGAGCCGTAAAGGCTGGACAAGATTAAAAAAGAAAATAAAAAAAGAACGAAGCAAAATTCCCGCGCGACCTCCACGCCTAAAACCCGACAACAGAACAAGAAAGAAACGACGTCAAACATTATTATTCGCGCCTTTGTCGGCGCGACACCCACTCAATCGGCCATCTCGGGACTTGCCCGGCCCTGAAACCAGCCATTCGAAAAGAAGCGACGAAAGAGAAAAGATGAAGAAGCGAGGACACCGATACAATTTCCCTTCAATCCCGACCTCCCGTAGTTGGCCCAACCTTCCCATCTTAGGACCCCTCATTGTCGTCGCGCAGAAAATCGCACGGAACAGAAATTCGCCCGTCACATATGTGACACATATGTGACGCCCAGGGGGTTCCAATCTTAAGCAAGCTCCCACTTGCTTGAATCATGACATGTGTCGATCTCTCTAATCGATCGACGCGCGGAGCCTTTTTTTTTTTTGCCACTTACCGTTCGATAAGAGTGTGGACGTCATCCAGGGTGGCACACGTGGCTCTATCCTACGATTTCCTCAAGATGGGCTCTCTTTAGTCCAAGGAGGGGATCGTGTGTGCCATCGTCGTGGCACGTGCCAATCGTCCGTACATCAATGTCCTAAAGGAAGGGGAAAGGGAAGACGATACATGGGGGCATGGCAAGGGGGGTGGGTTAATCGGGAGTGGGGGTAGAAAGCGTTCTAATCCTGCGACTGTCTCCGGAAGCTCCTGATATCGGATGATCCGATGGAAGCGAGGGAATCGATTACCACTATGCAGAAGGGATGGGAGATAGTCGGGGTAAAGGGTGGTGAAAGTTCGGAAAAGCGTCGTGCGGAAGTGATCGTGGTTTTTGCATGCGGGGATAGTCCCCGTGATCATGCAGTAAACCTCGATGATGTTGTGGCCTCGCCACGCGACACTGAAGAGAAGGGCATGGAAACAGAAGACAGGGGTGGCACACCGGGTAGAAGGATGGGGATGAACCGTAACAGCAAGACGGGTGGCATAGAAGAAGCGGAAGATGTCGATTGGGAAGGGATTGCAGGGGAAGGTGATGTGGGTAGTGATCTGGCGGAGGGTGAGGTGGTCAAGGGGACGATGGGATAAGGACCGGGGACAAAGCCCGATGCCCCGTATCGGTACGAGCTCGAACTGGTGGACGGGCGGAGGTTGAGGGGGAGGGGGATCGCCTTCGTCGCCGTCGGGCCGGTGCGCTCGAAGTCTCGGCAGCAAGGTCCCCATCGTCGTTCTTGGGCGGCTCGGGATCCTTGGCTGGGTCGTTCGGGATCGACAGATCCACCCCGCTTACGAACTCCAGCGGCTGCTTCCCGGCAGCTGTCTCGTCCTCTCTCCTTCGCACCGCCTCGGGATCCTCCTCTTGAGTCTCTGCGCGATCCGCCTCTTCACCCAAAGTCTCCCACTCACATTCCTCCTCTTCCTCCATTTGATCCTCTTCTTCTTCTTCTTCCTCTTCTTCGTCACCTCCCGACTCTTCCTCGCTGTATTCGTTGTAACTCCCCTCTTCTTCCGAAGTTTCCTCTTCTTCCTCCTCGTCGCCTTCCTCTACGCCCTCTTCTTCTTCTTCTTCTAGCGTTAGCCCTTCGTCTTCGGAGGCCGTTCGAGGCTGAAAGAAGGCGAGGCCGATTATCCTTCGCGGGTCCAGGTAATCACGTTACGATGGAGGGTTGCTGTTACCTGCCAGCTCCTCGAGGCAAGCTGACCACTGTAGGTAGGGTGTCAAAGTGTGTGAAAGGACGTGCGGGACTGGGCTCTCGTCGCACTGCGAAACGATTTCGAGAGGGAGATCGTCGACCAGCTGAGCGAGGGGAATCGTGAGCTCCTGTACGATCTGCTGTCGATGGCCGGGTCGCACCGATCCGAATAGGAATCCGAGAAGGTCTCCTTCCGCCTCCGTCCTCCAAGCTTGGATGATCAACAGCTCCACGTATGCGATCCAGGCGCGGTGCTCTATGTCCCTCGTCCACGTCAGCTGCACCCCGACCAAACACACCGAAAGATCGACGAAGTGCTCGCACCACAGTTCCCACTGTCTTCGGTCAAGGAGGGGGATAGCAAGTGGTTCCAGACGAAAAGAGAGACGGGGGCAAAGGTCAGACTGCCAGAAGGTAGGGAAGAGAGAGGGGAGAGCGAAGGTAGAGAGCTGGGAGCGGTTCATTGAGGACGCTGGAAGGGAACGAGCTCCGGGAGCACCACCGCCGGCTCGTGCCGAGACGTTCGGAGCCCTCCGACGTCGATGCCATCCGTGGGGACAAGATTATCGCCGCGGCGCGTAAGCCACTTATTCCACTTTGCTGCCAGCTGCTGACCCCACTCCCTTAGCGACGTCCAGATGGCCGTGTGTTGCAGAGGGCTGATCGCACTAATATCACTGCTGAAGAGGACGACTGTAGACACGTGGCTAACACCTGGTGCTGACAACCGTCGAACCGCCATCGCTTCTGCCAATACGATCGCTTGACGATGACCCATAAATCGGAATTCTGCCGCCGCGTACACTCACGTGGTATAGAAGAACTGCGCGAGTCGTAAAAGATCCGGACTGAATCGTGGGTGATGGACTTGCCGAATTACCGAAATGTCACTGTGTGGCTCCAGTATGTGATCGCCGAGGGCCCACCAAGTGAGAAAACTCATGGCGATGGCGATAGGGACGGGGTATGAAAAAGGTCGATAGATGCAGGAGGGGATGAAAGCAATAAAGAGTCGTCTTCCTCTTCTGTAGCGAAGGAGGAAGCAGACACAACAGGAGATGGAGAGGAAGGGAGAGGACGTAGATAGGACACGTGGCGGACGATCGGTCGAGCCGATTGGCTTCCCGAGACCTCCGACACGAGGCGCACGGTGTTCACCCCGTTCGGTCCGAGTTTGATCACACGAAATCGCCCGAAGAATCGTGGCGCTATCTTCCCTTGACGAGCACATTTCCTTACCTGCACCAGGTCCCCTAATTTATACTGAGGTCGTGGTCCCGCGTTCCCATTTCGGGCCTCGTAGCTACGGACCTGTCGGTCGTGCGCCAATTCAGTCATTTTCTGGCGCTTTCGGGCTAATCGGGGAAGGGACCGCTCCATCAACTCCATGTGCCGCTTGGCCTTGTCCCGAACCGTGGCCCTTGTGGGCCGTCGGTTCAATGAAGATTCATCGGGGAAGCTCGGTATCGAGACACAAGCTACGCTATTGGTTCGTAATTGGAGAGGCTAAGGCCCGTCGATTCGTGAGGCGTTCCCCGATGCACCGCCAAGACTACGTTGCATAGAGTACACGTACGGGGCATTTCCGTACGAAACGTACAGGTAATATCTGTACGGGATCGGTACGGGAACCTGTACGGAAACCTGTACGTCTTGTACGCCCCCGTACGAAAAAGCAAAAAAAAAAACAAAAAAAGTCATCACAAAAATCCGAAACAAATATATGTGATGCAACAGCACAAAACAAGCAACATTTGGCTGAGCATCATCTTCAGATTCTTATTAGAATTTGAGAAAAAAAATAAAAACACTACCGGATTAAAAAAAAAAAAAAAAAAAAACTCGTACGG